ATGGTTGTTAGCTAAAGGATAGGCCCAAAGTGTGAATTGCAAGCGGAGATACCAAAAATCAGAGCAGAAATTTTATCTAGGAAGTGTGATACTGTAATCCGAAGGTGTAATGTGGTAGTCAGGGAAATATTCCAAAATTTAAGCAGAGTACTAAGAAATGGGAAAAAATCGCAAGAAACAAGGAAAAGAGTAATAAATTGCTATGTAATATATATCCTTCTGTATGGCAATGAGTGCTGGACAATCCTTTCAAAAGATGAAGAGAAGACTTTAAGCAATAGAAAAGTCATTCTATAGAAAGATGTTGGTGATACCATGGACCGATGACGTGAATAAGTTATGTGCCATGCATAATACACGCTTAGGCGATCATGTATCTTACAATACATGACTGATGAAGCAGTATGTTGTCATTTCTTTCTGCGGTAGACTAGTTGCCATCCAGGACTATAGAACCTGGTCTGTCCTATTTACCAATAGCTGGGGAGGGGGGGAGGATTCATACCTTTCCCAAGGGTATTAGCACAGAATTCGAACTCGGCTTTCTGATTCCTCAATCCGAGTCGCATCCATTTCTCCCCCCGCCCCGGCGCCTCCTGATGATGTGAGTAACGAAGTTTTAGAGAAAAAAAAAAAAAAAAAAAAAAAAAAAAAAAAAAAAAAAAAAAAAAGAAAAAGGGAAATGAAAAATTATATTTAACTTCCGTTGAGGTTTCGGATGCACATAAAGAGGAAAGAAGGCTTGGAAAATCTGATACTCACGGGAAAGATAGATGGCAAGAGGAACCGAAGAAAACAATGCATAAAATACTTAATGGGCTTGAGTAAATGAATGACGGAAAAGAGTTTAGTTGAAATAGCAGAAAGACAAAGTTTATTGAGAGTTGCAATGGACAGGAAATTGTGGAGAGCCATAACCGCTCACGGTATATGAAGAAGATTTTTGTACGCATTTCTATAACGGGCGTTGAAAGAAAGGAGAAATAACGTGTAGATTTTGGGATATATTTTTTCCTAGTTTTGTTTATTCTTTTACTCTAAAGAATAAGCAAAGAAGCCTGCTATTAGACATAGCCTAGTGCTTGTAAAGAGGGAGAAGTTCCTTTTTGCATGCTTCATTCAACTGGTAGAATCGATCACTGAAGCCAAGTGATATATACGTAAAATCCGATTCACCCTTGGACTTTGTTAATATTCAAGTCATGATATCGAGGATTAAGCAATAATAGTTTCGAACAGATCTGCCTCAATCGGTGAAGGGTGATTGCAGTAAAAGAAAGAAAAAGCGATATGCAGGTAACGCGGAAAGGAGACAAATGAAGTCAAATCAAGAAATACTTGCGTAGGAGAATCTAGAAAGAGAAAAAAATGTAAGGAAGAGAGACATGAAGTGAGAAACAAAAAGAAAGAAAATGTATTAAAAAATAAGTAAAATAAAATAAACGTAAGAATGAAAAGAGAGAGATAGAAAAAAAAAAAAAAAAAAAAGATGGCAGTTGTTCCGAAGCTAAATTACTTTTGCGGAACTCTTCCTCATTGAAAAACAATTTTGATGCTAACGTGATGATGTGGATGGAGAGAAGTGCGAAGATGAAAAACAACGTAAAGAATTGATTTCTATTCAACCAAAATAAACAACAGTGTAAAATGAATGGAGGACGTTGCACAAAAATTTGCATGTAATTTGCATATATACTCTGGCATTCACACATGCGCATACCTTCATAGTTTTCACGCATGCGCGTTCATGTAAATTTAATGTAATGCATAAAAATTCGACAAATCGTATACTCTTGCATTATGGAATAATGCATACATATATATATATATATATATATACACACACACATACAAAGAACAATCTAGTACTTCAATGGACTAGGTTTTTAAATAATTCTTCAGCCGTGGTTGGAAAGTAATGCAATATGAACCCCCCGCTCTGCATTGCTTCTAACCCCCGCCTGAAAACTGCGGACAGCATAAAACTGCCAGTAACCGAGTGAAGTATAGTGGTACTTTTCTGAGGAGTTACACCATTTTGGCTGTATCGTGTATTCTATTTTCTTACATTTTACACTGAGATCTCTAAATTTTTACAACGTTATATATATAATATACACACACACACACAATCTCAAAATGGCAATTTTTGTCTGTTTGAATCAAGTTACCACCTAAACCCGCATATTGATGAAACATTGCAAACATGTTAAACTAACGTCCAGTGTCTTACTACTCTCATTGGATTTTTTTACAAAATCTATAATGGGGCCCTAAATCGTAGGTCGCCACCGGATCTTACGCGAAAGCCAGGGAGATAATTTTTAAAAGGTTTGCGAGACCGATTAAGATAACTCTCATGTTAAAATTCCAGACAGATATGGATCTTTGTTAGAAGTTAAAAATTTACGGGACAACATCTGAACGAATCGCGGGTTATTTTATAAACAAAATCTTTACTTAACGCATTAATTCGACGTAATCTTATTTATTTTTTATTTTATATATTTTTTTAATATGATCTCAGTACATTGCAAAAATATACTTTAACGCAATTAGTTTGTTGGTAGTTGTTTGCCACAATTAGTATTTCTTTACTAATTTACATATGAAAGGGAACAATGAAATCAACACACAGCGGCAGGGTACTGTACTACTGTACTGATGCGGCATTCACCCGGGGCGGATTGAGCCGGCTTCTTCCTGTTAGGAGAAGAAGATTCTTGGGATAAATTACAAAAGTAGGGTACCCAGGCCTACTCGGATAACGTTCTTGCTTGCCGCGGGATTCCCACAGACGCAGAGACAGGAACGACCAGAAGCCGCCGGTTACCGATGCAGACGTTCCTTGGATTTTCACCAGAGCCCTTGTTAACACAGCGGCAGGGTATGCTATATTTATGGATTAAAGTGCTCAATATTACTTCAATGTTCACCTTTATATTTGCATACGCTCTATCCCTGGTATTGAGGCATTTAATTCATAAATATAGCATACCTTAAAACTATATTTTATCATAATGCTCCCGGAAATCCGGTTGAGCTCTCTAGGGAAAGGAGATTTTAAAAACAGCTGCTCCTACTGCTATTAAGCATTACTCTTCAAGTATGAATTGAGTTCTCCGGGCCGCTGGCGTATTTCGTATAGAGGAAAAAAAAAGTTAAAATTCCCTTTCTTTTTTCCGTGGGAGTAAGATATCTAACTGATGTCAAATCAGTCGGGTTTCGATCCAGGCTTGAAGCAATCATCTAGCCACTCTGAGGAGCTGTGATACAGCGAAACTGTCTGTGGATGACTATGTATGCGGTCTAAAGATCACATTCAGAAATTAAAACTATACAGTAACTAATTTCACACTGTCTATAAACACTATCTCCGATATTGAGCACTATTCTTTTTTCGCTATAGTAAATACCAAATAATATAACTGAAAGACTTAATATGAATACAGTCTTATCTAAGTATTGAGTATTGAAATAAGTATATGGCGATTTTACGACAGTCTTTCAAGTCAAGGTCGCCTAAAAACCAGCATTCGAAACTGACGTCGACGCGTGAATAACTATATCTGACATTCGTTGGAAAAAACGTAACTCATCTATCCACTTATTATCATACTGGACTCTTCGTAACTTTTTTCCAGGACATTGGTGATCATGCCCTCCACGACTTCCCGTTTTGTTTTCCCCATATTTTACCCCTTTTGAATTCATTCACATAAGCCCGTTAAATATGTTGCTCGCTGTTTCCTCCTGCTTTCCTTGCCTTCAAGCTCTTCTGTTAGTGTTAAATTTTCCAAACCCTCTTTCCTCATTATGTAAGTATCAGTTTCCTTGTCGTTCCAATTTTCCTTAAAACTTCCTTGTTACTCACAGATTATATTCTTGGTATTCTCAGCATTAATTGGTACATCAATATTACAGTCTCTTTATCATCTGTGAGGAAACTGTCTAGCATTCATCACCATGTAAGTGGTTATATATTCAGGAGTCTTTTCTACTTCTAAAAAGATTTTTCTCTTTCTCAATGCTTTTAGTTTCTGAAAGGCCTCTATGCGTATCACATCAAGTGTTGTATTGAAACGTCTATTCTTACCTCCACACACACGTGTCTGTATATAAGCATCTTGTGTGCGTGTGCATATATATTTTTTGCAATCAAAGACATAAGACTGTTCGAAATTCATGAGAGACGGAAGCGACCCCACCCCACGCACCTATCTCTTTTTTCTTCTCCGCTGTTCATTCACGAATACAAAAAAGACTTGAGACCGAATTTACATAAATTGTCTTATTGGTTAAAACTTCGATTTTTGTCACGTTCAAAACCCCACTGATGCATATAATTTACACGTGTAAATATATATATATATATATATATATATATAAGGAAGTTCTCAAAAATTGAAACTGGCCAAATTGTCATCCAATATGTTTTAAATTGTCTCTAGATTTTTTTTTTTATATTCTGAGAGTACATCTTCAAAGCTTCTTAAGCCATTAATAATTTTCATAGGCGAAGAAACATTCAAAGCCTGTTTAACAAAGTCAGAATCTGTTAATATAAAATGTGGAAGGAACGATGTGTTTATTTAAAGTAATATTCTATATTTTAAGAAAGTTAAAACGACAGAAATGTTGTTCTACAGGAGGATGCTGAGAATAACATCGACCAAGCATGTGACCAACGACGAAGTTCTAGATAAAACGACACTTATGCTTAGCATCAGGAAGAAACTATTGAGTTTTCTGGGGAATGTCATGTGGAGAGAGGGCTTGAAAAATCTGATACACACAGGACAGAGTGAAGAAAAGAGGGGACCGTGGGAAGCCAAACACAATCTACTTGGAGAACTCGAGCAAGTGGATGGTGGGGCAGGTTTTAGCAGAGATGGCAAAAAGACAAAAATTATTATGAACCACAAAGGACAGTAAAAAATGGAAAGCCATGATCGCCAACATCCTGAAGGAAGACATCACATAGAAGTGTAACACTTATTTTAAACTAAATTAAAAAAGAGGAAGAAAGGAAGGAAAGAGAAAGGAAAGAAGAAAGGAAGGAAAGAGAAAGGAAAGAAGAAAGGAAGGAAAGAGAAAGGAAAGAAGAAAGGAAGGAAAGAGAAAGGAAAGAAGAAAGGAAGGAAAGAGAAAGAAAGAGAAAGAGGAAGAGAAAGAAGACGGAGGGGAAAGAGGAGGGGAAGGAGACGGAGGGGAAAGAGGAGGGGAAGGAGACGGAGGGGAAAGAGGAGGGGAAGGAGACGGAGGAAGGAGGGGAGGAGACAGACAGTGAAGTAAGTAATAAGAAATTTCAGTGTAGAGTAAGGTATATATATTTCCTTTTAAGCGCCGTTTAATCCCAGACCAGAAAAAAAAAAAAAAAATCAGTGATTTCAAAGGAAGAGTAGTGATGCCGGAAAATCGGATATGCCAAAAAAAAAAAAAAAAAAAAAAAAATTGTAAAATGCTTCCTGGAAATGAAAATGTTGAAATTCTGGACTTGAATATATGCAGACCCGGCGCGTACCGGGGGTGGAGGGGTAGGGCGTCGTCCAGTGCTTTGTGATCCTTGCTATTTTGTCAACATTTGCTTTTCTTTCTACCTACATTTATATACGTTACAAATTAAACTAAGCACAACTGACTATTAGCCACGTATTTATTTTGCTTATGCTAACTCTTGAAAAACACTATATAAAATTCACTATTTTTATATCCATAAGGTTGAACGTGTTAAAGTTATTCAACTTTTTAGCAAAGAAAAGTCTTATTTTGACGCTGAAAATTGTCACAAAACACCGATTTAGTTAAAATGGAATCATCTAATATGAAATGCCTCTAATTTGTATTTTAATACATTGTTTTATTTATTCTATTTCAGTTTTCTAGTTGAATTGTTCAACTGTATATTGGATATGCTCTGTTATAATACATTATTAGATTATAATACCATTTGGATTTTATATGACCACTAGCCCTGAATACATGTATAGGTGTGGCATTAGGGGGGGAAGGGGAGGAGAGGGCGGAGGGGAAGACGGGAGGAGATGGGGAGAGAGGGGGGGAGGAGGAGGAGAGGGGAGAAGGAGAGGAGATAGTGGGAGGAGGGGAGGAGAGAGGGAGGAGAGGAGAGATACAAGGAAGCAGCCATGAAATCATTAAGCATATAAATTCACTTTATCAAGAATTTCTGTAAATGACAAAAAGGTTTTATTTGGCTTCTTCTCTCGTAGACAAACTTGGAACAAGATCAATTTCATTTGCTTCCGGGTTAACAGTTTTGTACTTTATGGATTGAACTTCCTTATTTAAGCGCTGCATTTTACGAACCTTTCCATTAGAGTCAAAAAATTTATTAAAAAAAAAAAAAAAAAAAAAAAAATAGGAAGGAGCGGGCAATTTCCTTTATTTTCGCACATCAAACCTTAAAGTACTTATCTTAAATTATATTTGATGTAAGGGGTCTGTATACAAGAGAAACTTATTTTCATGATCTGTTATGCAGTCATTAACTGATGTAGTCTCCTTTAAAAGAAATACTAATAAATAAATCTTTAAATCTATATAATGAATGTTTTTGTCACACATTTTGAATTAAAGGGGCGCATCTGTCTAACTTTCAATAGCTCATGTTACAGAAATTTGGGATTCCCAAGTTTTCATTACTGCACTTGTTTTCTTACGTGATTTTTTTGCGACGAATATTTATTTATTTATTTTTACGATAACTGTTTATAACTTGGAAATAAATTTGGAAATAATCGAAATTGCTAAATCTAGCGAAAGTCACCCACGAAATAAAAATAATTGTACGGAAAGTAAGGACCTACGCACATCAAACTAATTGAATTAAGTGGCGGCTAAAGAATTATCGTTGAACTTTTAAGAGGTAACCTTAAATATTAATGCAATACTTAAATGCAGCGATGAATTGAGTTCTTCTGTAGTTTATTGTTGCCTATCGCATACGACTGGAGTATGCCTCACAAAAAGAAATCTCCGCCAACAGAGGACTAAATTGCAATCAAAACATCCAAGGCTGCAGCGAGGAAAAGAAAGTTCCGTCCAAATGAAAACCCAGATTAAACGGCAGTCAGGAGAGTTTCTAATGCTGTGAATATGCAAAGACTTAGGGTTGTTCAGGAGTTTGATAGTCCCTAAGGCCTAATCATGAGCCCTCCGACGGAGCTAGCTTAAATGTCGCCCGATGTAAGCAATAAACATCAATATACATACAAAAAAGGCGAACCAAGTTATGTACATTAACATATTTATGAAGTTATTAAATTTCGAGTTAACAAGAGAAAAAAAAAATGCCGCGATGGTATATCAACCTCTATGAGTTATCTAAGTATTTTGTACGCAATTTTATTTTTTGGGGGATAATAACGGTTTTAGTGATAGACGATTTGCTAATTAACCCATAGCTGGGGAGAAGAGATGAATTCATACTTTTCCAAATAAATGGTATTTGCAGGTAAGTGAATATAACGGAGTCAACTGGAATTGGAACTCGACTCTCCGATTAACAATACCGAGCAATTATCCATTACATCAGCCGCATATCCAAGTTTACAGCACCTGGTATTCCCAAGCGGTCACCCATCGAAGTACTGACCAGGCTTGACGTTGCTTAAGTTCGGTAATCGTACGGGAAACGTTGTTTCAACGTGATGTGACGGTAAGCGTAATTAGAGTTTTGTTTTTGGAAATATAGTAACTGGACTTATGAATACTAACAGGAAAAGTGTGACTCCAACATTATATAATGTGGATGCATTTTTATTTGATATTCCTACACTGTGAGGGAAAACAGTGTTTAGTGATATTGTAAAGTATAAAGTACTACTGAAGTGCACTGGTTTAGTTGCAATGATCGATGTTTTGACCTAAAGATCCTGCCTGGCCTTAGTATCATAATCTCTTGAAGACTTTGGTGTTTTTTTTTATTTTTATTATTTCTCTATGGCTTAAACGTGATAGATTTTTTTTCAAGCTAAACGGAATGCAAATTGCGTTTGTCCCTGATTGTTTCTCTTCCAGACAATACATTCCACTACTTACATAGACCCATGAAATCTCTAAATCAGTCCATTTTGCGTCATATTTGCTATTGTTGGGCTTTGGCGCAGACATCAAGGCGTGCCTCTAACATTACTACTCGAGCCATTCATCGTTTTATTAGTTTATTAAACCTTAGATACTTGAGACAGTCACTTTTACCTGATTGTTGCAGTCGGCTTGTGGCGCCATCCAGTGGCTGTCAGCGCGATAAGGCCTGGCTAGGATTGACATAATTTAATTAAAGGTTCTCTTGTAACGAGAAATGACGAGGACAAAATGGACAAGTGACCCCTGACCTGACATGGCCAATCTCCAAAAGAATGCTACAACTGATATAATTTATCTTGGGAGTGGAATTATCAGTGATAAGAAGCGAGGAATTTAGAACCTCAGATACCATGGGTAATATTTACAACAAACTACCCCACGCACATATATGAACACATGCATACATACAACTTGCATGTGTGCACGCAGACAATGTTCCATCCATTCATAGACAGATACAAACTTTATCTTTTACTAACATGAGCGTTGTCTGTAGAGCAAAGAATATTTAAGCATTTTAGGAAAACACAATGATCCATCAACATAAATAATTGTTGATCAAGAGAAGGTGGCGAGTTATTTAGGCGACTTTTCCCCAAAGCTTGAGTGTTGTCCTTTATTACCGAGGGGTTTTCAAACGCCTTACAAAATATTTTTGCAAATGGTAAATAAATTTTCAGTCGTGTAGCTTTTTGAAGAATTCTATTATCCAAAAGGCACCCCAACACCGTTTCATGGTTGTCAAGCTCGTATAGCAATGCATTACTATTTTGTAATGATTTCGATCCTCACTAGATGTCCACAAATTGCTTTGTACGTGATTAAAGTAAAACTTAATCAATGCTTACATGCTCAGAGTACAACAGTAAAAAAACTAGTTTTTTTTTCGGTCATGGTTAGCACTGTGAGATCGAACCTCACTGAGGTAGTCTGTTGCTAGGCTAAACTAGTGATAGTTAAGGTAAATATAACTGAATGCAACCAGGATGAGAATATTAATTAATGGGAAGAAGGATTTATGAAATACTTAAGTAGATTAAGGGGAAAGGGAGGAGAGAGAGAGAAATAGAAAAGTGAGGAGAGAGAGAGAGAAAATAGAAAAGGATAGGGAGAGAGAGAAAAAAGAGAGAGAGAGAGAGAGAGAAAAAAAGGGTAGAGAGAGAGAGAAAAAGGGTAGAGAGAGAGAAAAGGGTAGAGAGAGAGAGAGAAAAGGGTAGAGAGAGAGAGAAAAGGAGAGAGAGAGAAAAAAGGAGAGAGAGAGAGAAAAGGAGAGAGAGAGAGAAAAAAGGAGAGAGAGAAAAAAGAGAGAGAGAGAGAAAAAGGAGAGAGAGAGAAAGGAGAGAGAGAGAAAAAGAGAAAAAGAGAGAGAGAAAAAAAGGGTAGAGAGAGAGAGAAAAAAAGGGGAGGAGAGTAACTATTCATATTTTTTTATAATAAACAGTTAAGTATTAGCATATTTTAGTAGCATGAACGTTACCCGAAGAACAAAGAATTCTTAAGCATTTTACGAAAACAATGATTCGCCAACATAAATAATTGTTGATCAACAGAAATGTTTTTCAAAGCTTGAGTATTGTTCTTACAGTTATTACACAAGCAATAATAATAATAATAATAATAATTTCAAATAACCTTTTCATGATTTGTCGTCAAGTTGCTTTTTGAATACTTCTGTCAACTTTTGGTTTTAGTCATAATTCTAAACTACAGTTTTATTTATTTACTGAAAATCTTACGACCACATCAAGTTGAAATACTGGTTCCTGTAAGATCACCGAAGTTAAGCAACGTTGGTCAGTACTTAGATGTGTGACCGCTTTTGGATACCAAGTACTGTAAGCTTGGATGTGCGGGTGGTGTAGTGAATGATAGCTCGGAATTATTAATCAGAGAGCCGAGTTCCAATTCCAGTTGGGTTCGTTATATTCACTTACGCGCAGAACCGTTGAGAAAGATATGAATGCACTTCTCCAGCTATGGTTTAATTAGTAGGACTTGTATTACCAGACCATTATTATCAAAATAAGATAAAATAAATCTTGGAATCTAAAAATATCTTCTGGCTTTAAGCCGTAAAAAAACACGAATCAATTATTTACTGATTTATTTTTTATTTTTTTAAGCATTACACCCCGAGCAAGGCGTGAAGCCACTAGGATGCAGAGTGTTGCAGAAGATTGACATTACATTTGAATAGTTGGAGATTATAGCTCTCAGGGAAACAGTAATAGGGACGGATGTTCCACAGGCGAGAGGTGCGAGTTATGAAGCTATTGGAGTAGAAGAGACGGCTACATTTAAAAGTTTCTACAGTGAAAGGACGAGAGTGGGATGCCAGCCTCGTAGGGCGCTTGAATTCGTGAAGTCTGGGAACCAGTGAAAGCAGCTCATCGGAGCAATTACCATGGAAGTATTTGTAGAAAAGACAGAGAGAGGCGACGGCGCGTCTGTGAGAGAATGCCTGTAGACGAGATGTCAGTTTGCATATTTAAAATTTGGAGACTTACAAATTCATTTTGTAATAATTGCATTTTAATTTGATTTTTCTAAATAAATCTTTTTTTTTTTCATTTTTTTCTTATTCTTTAAAAAAAGTAAGAAAAAGAAAATCCAAGACAATAAATAATAAGCAACATTAAGAATTAAATGATATATCAATGTTTAAAAGTTGGTGTTTGAAAACCCTAATGTTGTGACAGCCCCACAATATTAACGGAGCGTTATTAAAAAAAATTTGAATGTTACTTTAAGAGTATTCCTGTTTACAAATTTATAAAACTCAAACATCCGCCATCAAATATGGTATTTACTACAGACGACAGGAGTCAGTAACTGTGTCCAGATAAAAACAAAATATTAGAATGCTGATTTTCAGTGCAAGAAGAAAAAACTCACCCAGGCTTAGAAGATAACATCAAATATTCTCTATTGTCCTTTGGCTCACTGTTGTACAAGCCCATGTTAGCAAATGCCAGTAAAGACGAACAAAGAGAAATGGTCATCTATCCAGTACTTTGACCAGCGAGCTATCACAGTGGGACATAATA